CATTTTTCTTTTCGTCAATAATAAAATTGGAATGAGTGAATATGGATCGATCACAAGTCCTCAAGCATCTACTGGTGAAATCGCTGTTCCCAAAAATGAGCTTCGAATCACTTGACGAATACCAGCTGAAAACCCTTTCAGCCCTACCGGCGATTGTAATCGAATAGATTAATTATCACGCCATTTCAAGAAAAGCTTTTTAAAAGAGGCGGGGTCTAATCAAGGAGGGGGGTGCATGCGGGTTCAGAGGGCCAAAAATAAGCATCGAATCACTTGACGAATACCAGCTGAAAACCTTTCCAGCCCTACCGGCGATTGTAATCGAATAGATTATCACGCCATTTAAAAGAGGCGGGGTCTAATCCAAGGAGGGGGTGCATGCGGTTTAGAGGGCTAACGTGTTCAAAACCATGAATGGCATTTTCTCCCAGTGTGAAGGTTTGAGACTAAGCCTTAGAAGGGGGCGAAAACTCCCGGATTCGTGAGCATTCTTCGTTCTCTCCTGCGACCGTATGCAACAAGCCCTCGAAGGTCGTCGGACATATGTCCCCGAAGCCGTACGCAACAAAACCCATAGGGGATATAACCCCGACGACCTTCGGGGATATATCCCCGGAGAGCCTCGGGGCTTGTTGCATACGACTTCGGGGATATGTCCCCGACGATGCGTCGGGGCTTGTTGCATACGACTTCGGGGATATGTCCCCAACGACATTCGGGGCTTGTTGCATACGGTCCCTTTGAACTTCTTCTCCCTTCCTATGCTTAGTCTAGCTGTTTAGAAGGTGAATATTATGTGCTAGCGTATTGAGGGGAGGTACGTGGTGGCGCGGCCTCTGTTCGTCCGGGCCTTCAAAGCTCAGAGTGCTCTGCCACTAAATTTCGAAACTGCGTCGCGGCGGCGATGGTAAGGCCCTTCAGCACTGGACCTTGGAGGTGCAGACGACAGAGCCCGCGTCGCCGTGTTGCCTCCCTCAACTTCGCTAGTACCCCTCCCCCTCAACTACGCCAGCATCACCCTTAAACAGGCTTAATTTTGGCTGAAGATTCCTCAACGGCTCGATTTTCGCTTGATCACTTCCGCAGGCTTGGTAAACCTTCGCCAAATTTATTTATACCTAGCCTCTCTGTGAACTACGTAGTTTTCAATTATAGGGACGCTTGGTCTATCAAATAAAAACAAAAAAAACAGAAAAAAAGCTATGGATGCGGGAAAACTGGATGGCATGGGTGCGGGACATACAGGTCCCGCGCCGTCCCACCTGGCCTGCAAAGCACGGAAGGAATGTATCCTTAGTGCTGTCGTCAACGGGTGAAGTCCTGGTATCGGATCCGCATTTCCAATTTGTGAAATGATTCTCTAAACTTAGAACGCAACAGAGGAAGGATGGTGATGCTCATAGGCGTGATGCGGATCTATTTCTTGATAAGTTCGCCGTTTTGCTTTTTTTGCGCCTTGGCTACAATGTATTTACTCACGTTTAGTCATGTACTTTACCTATAATCTATCTAGAGCGCCTACGATAGCTCCACAAAAGTTTGATCTCGCCGCCGCCCCTACTACATATTTACCTATGATGGCCCATGACGTAGCCCAAGCATCTGGTTTCGCGCTAAACTAGGATGGCTTCTGCTCACAGAGTCAAACAACAAGAGTCGACATTTTCAACAAATCAGAAAAAACAAAGTAAAACGACAAAGAAATCGACCCTGCACCCTCTTTTCTGTAAGCCAAAGACCGCCACTATGTCCCTTTGCCCTTGGTCACCTTCTGAGAGGTAAGCCTTGAGTCATAGGAATGCAGATTCAAGATCCGCGTCAAAGGACACACTGATGTATTTCTTACTACAGCTAGTCACTTCGACCCTGACTCCTTCCTATAGGCGTTCCTTATGAGGTTATTCACGACGAGAAAGAGGTGATCAGGTTAGTAAATGAGCTCGCCAAGTACGAAATTCTTTCAGGGTTACGAGTGCGTCTGTCCGATAGAGTACGCTGGTGAGCACTGTGAGAGGAGATCTTCCTTCTGTAGAAACGGTGAGAAGCTACTAACAATAAGTCATCTGCAAGTAGTTTATCAACTATAATAATTGTAAAGTACATACTGTGATATTTCAGAGGACTGTAATTCTGGTATATGTGAAGAGGACGGGGATACCTGGTACTGTGTCTGTCCATTAAACGCCACTGGATTACGGTATTGTGGATGAAACCTGGAGCTTTGGAAAAAAGCGGGTTTTTTTTTTTGATTTTCAGATGTGAAGTACCAGTGCAATCTTCAGTAAGCGATATAGGCTTTAAAGCCGATACGTCCTTTATGGCAATGCCTAGTCCGAAAAGTTTGGATCATTTCCAGGTAATTTCGAAAGGCGTCTTTTCTTATCAGCGATGGAGAAAGCCTCTTGGTTTTCTAGGTCTCCATGGATCTCAAACCTGAAGACGTGGAACACAATCGTATGCTGTTATATGTAGCGTCCGACTACGATCCTGAATCCAAGAAACATATGAGTGTTTCTGTCTCAGACGGTTCCATCGTATACTCTTATAGCGATGGAGAAGGTGGGTAGGGGAAGCGACTCCTTTCCTTTCTAGATGGCGTTTTCTAATAATTGTCTTCTTTTCACACGGTCCCATTTGATGTGCTCGAAAGGTGCGCACCGTGAATGTCCTGACCACCACACTTCTTCCTTACTCATTTAAGGCGCTGTCAAAAGCTAGGGTCACAATGGTTGGAGAACGGTGGGGTTTTTTGACGCCATTAAAAGACCTCATGGGAATGCTGAGGCGGTCCCATCCATAACCCTAATGCGCTGAGAGCTCTAGCTCACAACGACGTTCAATGACGTCAGAGCAGCGCCGCCCTCCAGCCATGGTGATCAGTGCCTTCACGAGCAGAAGTGCGTCAATTTTGATATGCATACAGGATAAGCATGCCCGTGAGCAAAGAAGATTGAAGCTCAAATGGACAATAGTTATGCTATTCGGGAGCGGGGGGGGGTTGGTGGTTAAAGCTCGCTTGACGCGACGTAGCAAGGCTTCACACAAATCCACTCCCCCTTCAACCTTTACTCTGTCTCCAAATGGCGCTAAACTAGCTTTCCCAAGCGCTTGCGCTAGCTATGTGACAGTTCCCATTGAAACTTAAAACTCTGCTCAGTGTACCCAGAAACCAACAGAAGAAGGCTTCATTTCATGAGTGTTGGTCTCGTAGCATGCTATTGTGAGACATCTTCTACCTTCACCATGTGGACGCTTATTGTCCTTCGTCTGGCTCTGGGCGCTCAGCTCCAAATAGGGAGAAGCTACCAGTTTTCGCATTCCCAGCGATTTTTTTCTCCTTTTCACTAGCGGTAATTCCACTTTTTTACCCTCCCTTCGAGGGGGTGACCCAGTGTGATCCTGAAATGTAGTCTTAAGTATTATGACTGCCCTCATGATTGTTTTAACATTCCCAGTTCCCCTTAGACTTCTTTCTTCAAGGTTACTCACATTCCATCTTCTACCTTCAGGTCGTGAAGAAATACGAACTGCACCGATAGAACCTGGTGTTGAGTACACAGTAGTACTATCTCGCAACGACTCCACAACTTCACTATTTATAAATCAACAGATGTACGAACGAAAGGTTCTCTTTGAATTTCGGAAGTTTTCTTTTCAATGGCCAAACTCATTAGATTGCCTAACATCAACGTTCAGAATGAAATGAAGACATTCGAACCAGGCACCGACCTTTTCGTAGGTGGCCTGCCACCTGGACTCGACGTGCCAGATGACGTCCCTGCCACTTCTTTCTTTGGATGTATTAACAAGGTTGGCCCTAGGCATTGTTTTCAGAAGTCAAAGGCCTTGTAGAGAATTATACGGCTTCTAAAGATTTATATATGCGGACAAGATTATGCTCTCATCACAGTAATACGCACAAAACAGCCCTATATGCTCGCATAAGCTATGCATTTGGCTTTCGTTGGTACTGATAATGCGCTTAGCCTTATACGATGACCTAGGGGGGGGGCTGATGTGCAGGGCACACGGTTTCAAATGGCCAGCGAATAAGGGACATACATATAAAGCGCTTCCTACGGGGTTGGAGTCCGCCTCACTAACTAAAGTCGATGAGGTTTTTTAGTTGCACTGGCAAAGATTCGATCCTGAATCAAATATCGTGGTTGAATGCATCCCATGGAATTCACTAAACCAACCTCCCTCCAGAGCCAAACATGAAAATTCAAAATCGAAACTCTCTTCGACACTACTTACCTTTTACTGCCCAATTTTTCAATGTCGGGTGGATTTTTCTCGAGGTTCGTATTCGCTGTGTGAATTTTACCAAAATTATCGTATAACTTCGTTAGCTGATTTGAACCCGCAACATATCGTATAATAACGCATCCCCTTCGACGCGGAATGTGTTCTGGCTCGTACCAACAGTATGATGCCCGTATAAAGGCATCAATACCCAAAATCAACGTGCTGAATAACTTTTCCCAAAAATCAGTTTCGGGGAGACAAGATATGAATACTAGTCTCGGTGAATTTGCCAAACTCATTGCTAGGAGCGCCGCTTAAAGGGATATTGAATAACCAAGCTCTTTTACGCGCGGCGCCAAACGCTCGCTCTCATCAAATTGTAATATGATATTCATTACCACGACTCAGAATTTTCTAGATACTAATTTTTGCACTAGAAACAACGTAATCTTGTATTAATGATTTCTAGTAATATATCCCCCTCAATTCTGGAGAAAGCAGGCATGAAAGGATAAATAGTGGTCTTTCTCCCTTCAATTTAGCTATTTTATCGGGAGGGAGTTCTCTTTACATATTCCACTTGAGCTGCTCCTACTAGCAAAGTCCCTGTTTTCGCTGCAAACAGCGCTAATTTTTGTGGTGAATCTGTTAGCTTTTTGGGTGGTATGAGAAAGCCTCCGTCCGTGCCTGTTTGTAACACTCGACGTCAACTAGTTATTCATACATATCCCCATGAAGTACGCATCGTTAAAAGGTGCTACTGAAAAAGAGAGAAGATTGATTTGAATTAGGATCGACTATTAACGCGACCTTTCTGGCCTTAATCGGACTATATCGGATGATTTTAAGCAATTATGAAACGAATAATAATAACGAGGTTCAGATAAATGTAGACGGGGTGGAGCTGGACTTCAACAATCAATCTATGTTCTCTTCTGGCGACATTTCTCAGTGTGTCATGGCCGAGGAGGTGTTCCCCACGAAGATATTCACCACCGAAGGTTGGTCGATAACTGTGTTCGAAAAAAATTGGAGTTCGAAGGAAGTCCACATTTCAGCCAGTTCTAGTACATGCATTAGAAATGAGTATTGATTTTGCGCGTGCCCTCTTACTGTTATTGCCCTTCTATTTTGATTAAAAGCTGGACTGGTTGGAAGCTTCGTTAGTTTTGTGAACTTCAGCGCCACCAACGACAGAGTTAACCACGACAGAGGAAGTAGTTCACATCTACAACACTGTCAAAGACTCTGATGCTCCTGAACCGATAATACCGACAGTGGATGAGACCGAAGAAGAAGCAGAAGAAGGTACCTCTCTCAAATATTATTTCAGACAGTGGGCATAGCAATTCAGGTGTGCGCTGGAGATGTAACAGGTACTCAAATATATTCACACGTGCTGGAGGAAATGGGTACCCGACAGAAGGCCCGTCGCGCGGCGAGAAGGCAGAGACGCAGACGGGTCAGCGGACGAGTCGCAGCGCGTACTGCAGTGATTTCGCGTCAAGTTAATAGAATGTGTGCTATAGTACATCCCACATCTCAAAACACGCACTGCGACTCGTCCGCTAACCCGTCTGCGTCTGCCTTCTCCGAGCCTCCTGTCGGGCACCCAGGAGAAATATTAGGTTGACCGAAAAGAAATGTCCCTCACTTTTGTGACATCGTTTCCATGCTAAATCATGATGTCTCACGATGCGCGGGTACTTGTTTGGAAGGCCGTTTTCTGGCGCACAGCAGGATATAGTGAATGTCAGGGAACGATGGCTTCTCTTGCCAAAAATTTTCTGAACACGTTGAGTCCAAAACCTCGTAGTCGCCCTCGTATGTGCATTTGGCACGCCTTCAAACAAGGAACGGCGGTTACTGATTTTTATCATATAATGTACAAAACATTCAACAGCAACGCTCAGTCTCCGAGGCAGTTACAGCCATGGTTTCGTCGCTTCCCCAGCTTGAGGTAAATGTCTGTAGAGAATGAGGAGCATTGCATCCCGACGGTAAGCTGTTAATATTGACAGTACCAAAGAAACCGTTGCAATCTAGCATTGCAAGTAAGACAGAACTGGGAGTGAGGGATTACAGAGTTCAGCAACATGGTTTGTAAGCTTCCGGTTTGACTAGTAAGGCCAATTGGTGCGGAAAACGCGTTCGACATCCCCTTAGCGAATCGAACAAATGCGAAACCCTGCCAACAGTGGACTACTGCCCACCTCTCCAAGAAAAACAGAGTTTTTGTCTTGGTTGTGGGCCGTTTGAGAATGTCCCACAATAGCTATATGAGAAAGGCCGTGGGTCCGGTAAACAGCATGACAGCTGAGATCAACTCGAAATCAGCTCAGATGGCACGCTGAACGGACTCCGATATCGGCGATCACGGAACAGAAGGACGTGTCTTGTATTACACGACAGTACGAAATTGGTGTAGCTTGAAGTGTTATTGTGGATTGGGCAGTTAGTGTTGAATTGTACGCATAGCAGGTTGCCTGCTTGGATCAAGAGCTGCGTCATCAAGGGTATTCCTGTCAGTATGGAGATCGTATCAAAAGTTGCAAAACACATGTTTAAGGAAAAACACTCGAAAGAATCGATGATAGGCATGTGAAGCTCCTGCTTTGTTGCCTAGAGCAGGACTTGGTTGCCTCAGATATACCAATCACGAGCCGCATTAGCAATAACCTTTGGCCAGAGCAGTGAGTTTCAAACTTCGCGATGCTGAAATGTTTGGCTGTCCAACGTCTCCTAGTCGCATCGCAGACAGGGCTTCAAGAAGTATCCATTTTCTATTGCCAAGAAGGGGTCATTAGGCAAGTGCCCTTTTCAGAACGAGTTTTTCGCATATTGGGGGTACGCATGTGCAGGGAACAACAAAACCTAATGTTCCTGTTCGCTAAGCACGGTATCTAGCAGTACCAAGATAGAAACTTGGAACTCAAGGAACTTTTGACGGTTCGATTCTCCGTGGCGACTAAATTTCGCATCTTGGTTACCGCCTACGGGTTGGTGCCAAATCGCATTGATGTCAAAATCAGATGTCATATTCATCGCCAGGACCATTTTCGAAGGCAACAAATGGCGCCAACCTTGACGGCTAAATTTAGTCGTCGCGTGTTCGGGGTGAACATGAGGGATTATTCACACTTTTTTGATGGTACGGGGGTGTAAATCGTTTTCAGGCGAAAGAAGCATGGTTTCGTGGTTCGACATGCGTACCCCAGAAGATGCCAATAAACTTATTTCCAAAGCGCGGCTTGCCCTGAAGACCTTCCCTTGTAAGGAGAAGAACCAGTGTCAAGATGGAGGACACGAGTTTAAGGTTATGTTCTTTGTGCTGTTGCACAGGTGGAATTTATGCATGAACAAAAACGGCATTTCTCATCGGCTCTAACCTCTAGGAAAACTGCTGGAATGCCTGCCCAAGTGGATCTATTGAGCTTTTACTCGTGCTATCATCATCGATAAGTATGTATGATGGAAAGCCTCGCAGCCTTTTCCTTTGTTGCTTTGTATAGTATATACTTTAAGTTTAGGCTTTCGATGGCGACAAGAAAGCACAGAATTGCTTGTCATAGTGGCATGAGCGCGAGCTTCGTACAGCGGCGTTACACAATCGCTGATTCCTTAGCTCACGGAAGTTCTAAGCTCTTATTTTTTTACAGCTTTATCCTTAATCCTTCTTTACTCAACGCCTTGATCACTAGGCAGTCACTTGGTCAAAATCAAGGGAGCTTTTGAGCTTCATTTCTCCGTATTTGACGGCTCTTCTTCTGCTTTCATCTCCAGTGGCTGCCCATTTTGAGCACCCTTAATATTTGCGGTCAGTATCGATTCTCTCGTGTTCCCCGGTTTCAGGAACATTCATTAATGCTTATCCCTGGGAAAACGGCCATTATCTGTTTACTGCTGAAGCTTCATATCCGGGACTAAATATGGGTTGGAGCAAAAATAGTTTTAGATGATCGTTCTCAGAACTCAGGAATCGCAAACTACGAACAGTGATTAGTGCCTGAAGGCATGATCTTGCAAGTTTTCAGAATGTCAGTATGAGACACGCGCGTCAGTGTGGGTTCCGTAGAGAAGTGCTCGGTAGAGAAATTCACAGATCAATGCTACCGTCGGAGCGCTCCACGATGACCCAATGTCCTCAGAGGGCATAGCGTATCATACACCATAATGAAGCCGTATGTATACGAACTTCATAATATGGTCTTGTTTTTCGGCGCATGCATGCTTCAAAAAAGTTTGTATGATCACGTGCGCGCCAATGGGGATCTTTCCTGTAAACGAACGCTCTTAGACGTATGCCAGTGCAAGTTTGTGTACTTACGATGGTCACGCTGTTGAATGGTAAGTTGAAATTTTAGCCTCGTTTTGCCAAAATTTTCCTCTGGTGAATGTGGATGATTAGTGAACACGCAATAATAATGTGATTAGCACACTACAAGGCTAATACAGCTAGGGGAGCGAACGTTTGTTCCCTCGTCGCGGCTTCCAGAGTTTGTTCGCCATAAGCTCGAACATATTCAACATCTGCAAAAGAAGGCGGAGAATCCCTGTGATTTCTTGCGTTACTCGCGAACGAACCTTGAGATCCTACAGTTTTGTACTCCGACCACAACGCCCACGTTTTCGCAAGGGAGTGGAGCATTGTCACTCCTGCACCAGCGCGGCCCTTTTTTTACTTAAAGGAATCTTCCACAAAAGAGCTGCTTATTCTTTAGTGTATAGTTGTTGGGTATTGGTCATTGAAGACCATATGCAAAGTTCAGAGCGAAAATGATGAAACCCCCAAGAGAAACAGCCCTTGGAAAGACCCATCTGTGGGACCGGATTGGACCAGTAGGCGGGACCGGAAGTGCTTCTGTGACGAAGTGCGTGGCAGGTGCGGATCCACGTGTCAGTTTATGGGAAGGGCCCAACATGAATCCAGTTCACGTTCACGCTTTTGACACGTTTGCACGTGTTGACCCTCACGCCGCTAACTACGGCGTGTTTAGAAAGTTTTACAGCGGGAATTCAAAATTTTCATAGTCGAACTGGTTATCATAATTATTATCAAAACCATCGCCTATGTTCCGTTCTTTTTGCTATCTTCATGAAGCAAGGGGCCTAAGGTATCGTTTTTTTGTAGGAATGGAGGCGATGTTTTTCCGTGGAAGATTCCTTTAATCTTTCATGGTGGCTTTCACGGCGTGGGAAATTTCCGGTTTTCCTAGAGATCCGCGGAAAAAGAGTTTGAACAGGGGAAATCTGCTAATTGAGGAAAAGGTTTTAAAGTGTCATTGCAGTCAAACCAATCGAGCGAGCGGCAAAATTCGATGGAAACGCTTTTCTGGAAATTTCATCGGACGAGTTCCCTCACTTGACTTCTGAAAAAGAGGAAATTGTCGAACTCAAATTCAAGACGAAAGAACCCGATGGAGTGCGTTGATTTCTCTCATTGGACTCGCGCTCTACTTTCCGAAATTTTATTTTCAGGTGCTCTTTTGGCAAGGACAACAACCTGGCACTTCTGTTGTTGGCGAGGATTACTTTTCGGTTGGGTTGTCAAATGGACATCTACATTTCTCGTTGGTGCATTATTACGACAGCAGCTGTCTCTTTTTGTTTCCCCACCCTCCCTTTTCTACTTCATCCCATTCATTTTCTCCTCGTTTCTTTTTTTGGGCGTTCTCTCGGTAATAGGTCGATGCAAAAAAAACTTCATGGCAAGAGTTCAGATGAACTTTGGACCAAACAACTTATGGTGCTTCTTACATAGTTTCAAAGCTTTCGAAGAGTTTCGAAACACTCTGAAAATACTCCACGGCTCAGTGCCAGCAAGCGGTCAAAGCCGCGTCCTATACTTTTCGGCCACCCTGTACATTGGCTTATGACTAAGCCTATGATAGGCCTAGGCTTAGTCCTAAGCGAAAGCGAATGAACGGCTTCTCAATTTTAGGTGACCTGACCCAGGAGGAGGAACGCTACGCACCTCTTACTCCATAGAGGGTGCGTAGCGTTCATGGAGTAAGGGTACGGTTTCAAATTCACATAGATCTTTGAATGGAACCTTGATAAATCGATAGAGACTCAAATGCTGGTTCAATTGAGGAGACCAAATCGTAAAATGGATCTCTTCAGCAAAGCAGCCTAAGTTGGCGACAAATACCGCGTTGTACACCGGGCTGCTTTGCTGTGGTGTTGATGTCCCCACTGACTGACCTGAATGCGATCCAGATAACCTTGAGACATCCAGGGTCACCGTGGGGCAGTGGAATGATTATCAAGTGGAGATGGAGACTTAGGTAGATAGACACTGGAATGCTGATCGCAGTTGTGGAGACTAAAGTTGCAAGGTGGTTCTCGACCAAATTGTGAGTAGTCAAGTTTGATTCAACACCACACTTGCAGTCAACCTTGACTACTCGCAATTCGTTTGATGTATCCATTTAAAAATTTCGTCGAAATATTTTTAAACACCATTTCAGAACCTAGTACCTACTGAGATTTTCTATTCAAACTTCCATAGCGACTAGGAATCCTTAGTTGGTAGAAAAGAACGGTGATGGAAGGTTTTGATTCCAATTAAGAAAGACGGAAACTTGAAACGAAATTAAAGGCGGGCTTTGTATTCGCTCCTTCTCAGGCGACCCATTATCGTTCAATCCCGGGAGTTCGGATCTAGTAAGTTGCGGATTGGCTGAGGGCTAGCAAGTCGTTGACGTAACTTGGTTCAACGTTTTTTCTTTTCGATCTTCCTGGTTACGTGGGAACCGCCCAAGTTCACTGGTTGCTGCTTTTTTGATCTCTTTAATTTCTCTCGATTCATCACGCCATATGCGGGCTTTCGCGAAAAAATGGTCGCTCTAACCTTGCCAGTCTTTGTAGATATGAGTTAGGAGGAGGAGCTGCACATATGATTTCTGAGTCAAGAGTCGATGACGACAAAGAACATCACATTCGACTAGAAAGGTCAGGGAGTTCTCTATTCACTCAATGAATTTAAGTTCAAATAATGAATTCTTAATTTTCATATCATTCATCACCCATCCCAACTCCAAAATCCTTAAGACCCACGGTCCCTTTTTCAGACGAGGTCGCCGTGGAATCCTGAAAGTTGATAACGAAGTTGAACAGAGTGGTTTGAGCAGTAGCGGAATACTGGCCATGCTTAACGCTGATGGAAACATATTCAGGGGAGTGGTAGCTTTCCAAAGAATTTTTAGCGAACAAATAACCGGGTAGAGCTCACTCAAACTAATAATCTTTCAGGAGGTGTACATGATGTCTATAGGTATACAGGCGGGCTGCATTCCAAAAATTTCGTCGGCTGTGTTGCGGATGTGGCATTAAATGGCGAAATTATTGACCTTATGGGAACGGCAATAGATGGGAAAAATGTGAAACCATGCGACGAGTGGATTTCTCCCAGAAGGAGGCGGCTGAAAGGTCGAAGGTACGGATATGTTCAGGGGCCAATGTTAGCCAGAAGCGTCGAAATTTAATTTTTTTATCCTCAATCCGGCCATGATGGCCGTGTACGTGAGCCCCAGAACCTACCAACAACGAAGTCAAAAGGGCCTCTTTCTCCCCCGTTTTTGCAGGCCTTATAAAAGTAAGATTTCAAAAGATTGCAGGGCGGTGAAACTCCAGTTCGGGGGGGCCACTCCATTGCTATCTTATCCGTAGTACTAGAGAGCAGTTCTTTGGGCTATCGAACACTACGGATAAGATAATAAGTGAACGACTCATTTCGAGCGTACTTTTGATAAGGACCGGTGGATGTCCTACATTCCACACTACCTGCCCACATCCCATCCACTTTTCTGCACAGGTGATCCACCCTGGAGCTCCTGCACCCTTAGCCCTTTGCGGAGGTGTCCTTTCTCCTGGTCCAGGACTGTTTCCCTGGACCAGACAGGCGAAAATATGAAATCATCTCAGGGTTTCTTCCACATTACACCGATACTTATCAGAAGTCTACTTTAAATGAGTCGATTACGTGTCGTGAGCCCTCTAATCCTTATCTTGAGTATTGGAGAAAAAATGGAGTGGCCCCCGACGGAGTGGAGTTTCACCGCGATCTCAATTTAAGTACTGGCCGTTATTCTCAGACAGAATCTATTTTCTATCTTGCCGATGTTAAGTCACACAACCTCTCTTAGCGCCGAGGGCCTTATTCATTGCAGACCTGAAGCTGCGCGTCAGTGTAACAGAGCTTTAGGTGAATTTCAATAGGACGTTTACGCATGAAAGCCTACCCATGCCGAAATTAAGTTGAGGGGATGGTCAGGGCGTGCAGAGATGATGAAAAACCATGAAAAACGGCTAAGAACCAAGAACTGGGACCTTTTCTCTGCCCATAGATTCCGCATTGATGCAGCTTCACCGATGCTGCTCTGTTCAACGATAATGCTCTCCCTGCTAAACGGCTAGAGTCAGACAGAGAGAGTGTAGGCGTGTTGCGGCGAGTGTGGCCCTGGCCGCTGGAAGGCAACTTCTGCGAAACGCGCATCCCGCACCCTTCGGGGGCCCCGGTTCGATTGGGATATTTCCACTCGCACCTTCGATCCTATCGTGGGATCCTCTTTCAAACAAAACTTCTCTGGCCGCGTAGGGATGTTCAAAATGAGGTGGGCGCTCACCAGCAGAACAGAAAACTGATTTTCAGATTTGAGCCGCAAAATCGTAACAGCTCCGCGGTAGAATTAGTCCACTTTGCCCACATAGCAATCGTTCCGCCCATGGAATATTAGAGCAGCTCAAGAAATAAGGACCCTGCACGATCTAAACGTTATAGTTTTGCAAAGGGTATTCTTATGCGGGAATCCCCTTCCCCTCTGAGACTAATCGACACACTCGAAGTCTGCCCACTTTTCCATCCATTTCCCCTCAAAATGGCTGACAAGCGGTGAGAGGAGTACATTGTCCAAAGAAGGGGCAAATGCTCTAATTTTAGCCGAATGACCCTTCTTTTCTGAAGTTTCGGCCAAAATCGTCGAAAATCCTTCAAAACGACCCTCTTCGCATTACCCCCCAACTTTCACAATCTTAGGCCTAGGTAGCAACATTCAAAGGAGAAGTTTGACTTCATTATTGATTGTTTGAAAGCAGTGTGATTTCAGGCGACAACGGGACTGGACATTACTATGATGTTGTTTTCCAATAAGCTCCACTTGATTCGTTCCTGAGAATTGTGTTGTTCAAATTTATTTACTTTTTTTCTAGATACGGTCTGACATGTCAATAAATAAATAAATAGGATGACCCGTGCCTCATTCCTGATCTGTCTTGCTTCATGTGATTATGGAAATAAGTCTATTAGATGCTTTCTTGCCACTTCCACTGCCGTCTTAAATGTATACTATCTACCATTCGTCGGACCCGAGTTCTTTAGTGGACTTTTGGACCTTTCAAATGCCGTATGATTTCAGTTCCATTCTCTACCGATTTCCATAAGCTGTAATTTTATTTTCACGTTTTGTTTTACTTTTCCATCAAAAGAATTGATAATTTGTTGCCATAAATGCTAAGTAATTGTTGTGTACGGCTGAATCCTCAGCCATGTTCTGTTTCTTCGGAGAGTATTATTTGACAGTGGAGTTGCGTCGACCAGTAAAATTGCCCTATCGGCATAAAAAGCTCGAAAAACCGGTTCCCGCAAAACTAGGGAGCTCTCAGAGTTCAAGAAATGGCTTTCTGAGCGTCGCACCAACTTCGTCACCAGAACTTCGCCATGAGATTGGGAGATTATGCGCGCCTAAAAGAGTGTGCTCGGGTAATCGTCCTTCTTCAAAGAATCCACGATGACGTAGGCGATCGAAAAGGGGGAATATCCTATGTCGAATGCAATGTGGGCCCCTGAGGGTACGAGACGATGCGCGCTTCGGGCCAAAGAGCATGCTTTCCAGCTGGCCTCGCAGGGCCATGGCGTTTCGAGCGAAGGAGCATGGCCTTCTAGAGCGGCAGGGCCATATGCTGCGCAGCACGGCCCACAGCTCAGAAGTAGCGCTTCTAGCCGTGAAGAGGGCAGCCCGAATAAAAGTCGCGATCAGTGCCGCGTTAAATCAACAATGCAGGAAGAGGTGCGCTACTCTGAAGGTGCTGACGCGGGTATCTCAATGTTGTTTTGTCTTCATCCCTCCACCACTGATCCTCTACCTTGATTTCCAATGCTCTGCCATTTCATCCTGAACTCCACCTTAAAATTTTTTGCGCAAGTTTGTGTGCGAGGTCGCTGAAACCGGTGTCGCAATTTTGGATGTCCAGGGCAGTCTGAATGAGAAAGACGCGGAGGTAGGGCGACGCAGCCAAAGAAGGAGAGGAGGTCCGAAGAGTGCAACGAGACATTCGGCGTCACTCCCGCGAGCGTTGATGCACGTATACTTTGTGCCGGGTGAGCGGACAGACATACAAGTAGAATATGCTCGGCAAGAATGCCAATACGGCCATTCTACAGAAACGGTGAAACACCGAATCGCACTTACCATCTTGTGTCGCGATCTCTCCCAGTACCGCGAGTCTCCTGAACGATCGAGGCACTTGGTCCTTCTTGAATCCGATTCTCCGCATCTCCATTTTCCAAGGACCCGTGCAAACGAACTCGCCGGGCCTGTATGATACAATAACAATGCGAGAGCAACACACAGCGTATGAGGGAGGCCACGTGTGGGGATCGATGGTGGTGCAGGAGTTGATGAGTGTAAGGACACGCGGGCGACGCGGCAAATCCGCGCTAGCGTGAGAGAAAGAGCAGTGGAGTGAAGGTGGGCATGAGTGGTGGTGCAGGTCTAGGGGAGCAGCGTGCGTGGTGAGCACAGGAGCCGAGGAGGGGGCGAAAGGGAGAGCCTAACAGTGAGGCGTGGTGACGAGCGTGTTTTGCGTGTACGTGGGCGGTCATTGTTCACAGACAGGCGCAGTGGAATGAAATAACAAGAACGCGTAGTGGAAGAGTGACCAGGGGCACACGCAGATGATCCCCGGTCGAAGCCTAGCGACCGAGATACTATCGTGTCGTGGGGCGGCGATGCTCCCAAAAGCTGTGAGTACAATAACGCGCGCGACATTAAAGAGAAGGACCGAGACGCGGGAGGAAGGCGGCCGACGCCAGAAAGGCAGGAAGCGGGACGGGGCGGGGCCAGGTCCAGACGTATAGAGGGCTTGCCGTCTCATTATGCTCCTGCGTGCATTTACGAGCAATCTTTTGTTGATTATTAAAGTGCAAGTGCTCAATCGATGAAGGTAATCATCGATTCGATCACGGCTTCTCTTTTTTTTATTCAAACAGTGCTCATCTCATTCAGATTGGGAGAGCCCATTTCCAGTTCTGCGCTATTGTTGCGTTGGATAATCTATGGGCTATCCGTTCTGCTCCTAAGCGCGCGACCTCTTCTCCTAGCGTCGCCTCACGGACTTCTGCTTAGCTTGATTTCCATTGCCGAGGATCGAAGTCCTACGGTGGATAGCAAAAGTTAAGAAGAGGTATTCGTATACAAGGAGGCGGCGGGGGGAGGGGAGGTTTTCGCATGAAAAGTCATCGCCGTCCAAATTCAAAGGAATTAATATAATCTTTTGCTGAACTCAAATCGAATGGACTCAACCGAATATGGAGAGCACGTTCTACTGTGTCAAAAAGCTTCATATATAGCCTTCTTACACGACGACATTCGAATCGTATTGCACAGCGGTGTAACATTTGGGCACGGTTCGAGCTCAACGTGGTCCTCGAGAATCGTGGGACTTTATCTGATGGGCTGGCTGGAAGCCGTCTTGCACAGACAGAGCTTACTATCTCTAGCAAGCTATCTATTAGTCGAACGATTCGAGAAATTATTTAGGAGCTTGAGGCTGAGCGATTACGGTGGGCTCCTTAGTTCGCTTTTGATGGGCAGAGGTTGAGTTATATGTGCTGAATAACCAGGATGTTTTCACGTCGGGCCCTTGTTTTGAGAACGATGTTTTGCTATTTAGGGGCACCACACGAATGCGAGTTAGAGGTGTAGTTTCACTTTTGCAGTTTGGGCCCTCCTTGAATGCAAGAAGGGCTTGAATTTGACGTTATTGGCAAAACCTAATGTAGGGTTGCGTGGACAAGTCGTTTGCTGATAGCACAGGATCTTATAATGGCGCGAGTACCACTCCGGACGTTCATGCAGGTCAATGAAAACGGCAAAACTTTGTCACCACGAGGAGCGAACAGACCAACTTTCAGTCGCTTTCTCAGGCAAAGGGGGCCGTTATGAATGAAGCACATTTTCCAATGGTACAGTGTATATATAAAGAGCGAAAACCGTTCAAAAAAATCGAGGCCTAACGTGAATGAACTGCCTTGTGAAGGACATTTTGCCGTTAAATTTCCCTCAACGACAGCACACGGCACTCGGATTTGATGTATGAACATGGGAAAAACAGAATTTCGTGTTCTGCCTGTTTTGTATTCAGGGGCTGTATTTCGCCGCAGTCTGGCATTCTGCCATTGATGCGGACAAGACTTTCACGGCTTTCTTTCAGTTTGTGCAAGATGACTTGGGACACCTTGGCATTAGCCGAGCGCGACAAAACCCCTCAAATATTGTAGCAGTTGGCGTGGGAATTCGCCTCGTTGGCGGCGGGGTAACGATGGGACTCATTTAGCACTCCTCTCACCAGAAAAGCTGCCGTGGGCGGTGTGTGGAACCGTAACAAAGCGGCTTCATTTCGTTTTACAGAGCTTATCCGCAGAAGTTATTACTAGAGCCGATGTCATAGTTTGCGAATCGAGCGATTCGCTAGCGAATCGCTGGATCCGAGCGTTGCGCCAGCGAATCGAACGTTGCGCCAGCGAATCGAACTTTGCGCCAGCGAGTCGAACGATGTTACAGCGTTAGGTTCGGAACTTAGACCCCCCAAAAAAACCAAGCGAAAAAGTCACAATGTGGCGGGACCAAGTTTAAGGAAGCCAACTATTCAAGATCAGTGTCAAGTTGACAGTGGATCTGTTTGAAGAGTGGGCGGGGGACTATGAGTGGACACTGTTTGAAAGTGGCCGGGTCTTCTTTGAGACATTGAGGGTCCGCCGCTTATTTGGGTAGCATAGGGTAACTAGTTGTATGTTCTCGCTGGTACTCGTTCGACTCTGCTGGAACGCAAAGTTTTCGATTCGCTGGGCGGACATGCAAGGTTGATTCGCCTAGGCGTCAACGCGGATCATGGCGATTCGCTTAGCGAAATCCGGGCTCTCTGATTCGCAAATATGATCGGCCATACACTCGCGCTGCGGGCGAGAAGAATGAAAGCAACTGAGGATGGGTTTCTGAATCACCTATCGTTACTTTTCGGGGGTTTTGACACGACACAGACAGATGGAATAGATATAAGAAACATTGCCACTGAGACATCAGTTTGTAGATGGGCACCAATGAGGTGTAAGAGCGAGCGCCTACAGTAGAGCTTAGAGTTTAGGCAGTGCTTCAGACAGTTTTGGCAATGGCAATTGTGATCAAGGTTATATACAGGTGTGTGATGCGCCAAAATTTACGGAGACGCGACTTTCCCGAGTTTGCCTAGGAATCGCAGCAGGGCTACGTCTTGAAAACAAAAATGCAGTGACACGTGCACACAGTCCCATTCTGAATCGTCGACATCCATGCAATTTTTGAAATTCCTTGGTTTGTGTTTATACGGGTCCTCAGAAACATCGAGGAACCATCGACTGTGGCACGCAATGTGGCGAGTAGGACTCGTCAAGCTCATTTTAGAGCGGTTTCTTCAACGAATCCCTAGACATAATGTGTTTTATGCAAGCCTCAGCTTCTAGAACGGATCCGACAGCGTACCCTATCGAGCTCAGATCTGAAATGCTGTTCTACCACCGTTTAAGCCGACAAAGTCGAAAAAATCGGTTCTGCATCAATGCTGCACTAGTACTGAACCACCCTTGCCTCGTAAACGGGAGCTCCTACTTGATGGAAGGCCCAGCAACGATTTTCAAAGTGAAAATAAACTCAGGATAGCAATGGGCTCTGATAAGTCCAAAAGAGCCCCCCTGATTCCTATCTCTCGTGACATCCAGTGAAACCAGCGCGTCAACTACCTGCAAATTCTATCGCACACAATCCTTAGATTGTTCGTGGTCGCCACAGAAACACGCCCTTCTCATCCAGAATGACTGCATTCAGCTCCTTGTCCCCT